AGGAAGAAGCTGTTTGTGTCTGGAGGTGTCGACCAGAGGGCAGTGGGTCAAACAGGTAGTGAGTGGGATTCAAGGGGTCACCTGTGATTGCCCTGGTTCTCCTCTGCTCATCCTTCTTGTTGTCAGTTGTGGCCACTGCACCCAGATAGTTGGAGTCCACACTCTCCACTGAGGACCAGTAGAACGCTAGCAGGAGCTTCTGGTTCAGGTTATTCTTCCTTACGACGCGGAGTTAGTGCAGCCGCTGCTGGACCTTCTTTATCAAGGCGATGGTGCTGTGGGTCGAGATAAGATCGACGGAGATGTGAGTCCCCAGAAACCTAAAGATGGAGACAGAATCCAACCATTCTCCCTTTATAATAAGAGGGGAATGGACCTGTCTGTGCCTTATGAAGTCTATTATGAGTTCTTTTGTTTTAAAGACCGTCAGCTTCAGGTTACAGAAGCAAAACAGAATACATGTGTGTGAGTGAGAGGGAGGCAGGTAGAAAAAGGTGAATATGTAAGGAGCAAAGGTAGTGCAAGGTGGATAAATGCAAGGGGCCAACCATCCAAAGCAATGAACAGTGCACAAGAGAGGTGAAGAGGAGCGTTGGGGGTGATTTGTAAAGAAAAAAGTAACTTTTAAAGAAAATGTGTGACACACGGATAGCAGCAAGAGTGAAATGAAGGTTAACAAGATGGTAGTGATGTGCGATATATGTTTAAGAGACGGTGTAATCAACGAAAAGGAAGTAGAGTTATTTTTCGAGTGATTTTTGAAGCTTGAAGAAGTTATTTTAATGATTTTTTTGTATTTACCTTCAGTTTATCTGTCAGTTAACATCCTGAAGATGTAAGCAAATACCAGCAGCATTTTTATAACGTAACAATAAAAGCTATTTATAACTTCAGCTTCAGCACCAACACTTTGTTTGCTCTGATAAAGTTTAAATAAAGAAGGATTGAAGAAAACACAGCATATTGAAAACATGTTTTATTCACACAATGCAAAACAACTTTGGATCTGTTGACATCATATTCCTGCTAAATGATATAGTCTATGCATCTTTTTAAACACATTTGTATTTGGCATCAAACCTCTATTTTTATGTACACTTTTCTGTAACGAGAGAGAAAACTCGTTACTCGTGCAAACACCGAGTGTAACAGGGAGTGTATTCAATGCGAATAGTTTTTACTTTTAGATTAGCAACCCAGACTCTAGCAGTTCATCCAGGTGGTTTGTCACACTGGAGCAGCACTTCAGTGTTTGTCATCTGTTTCAGTTTATTCCTCTTAATATCAGGATTCAAGATGCTGACCGCGTAAATCCAACCCCCGCATCTGATTCCCTTTATATCATCTCAGCGGTCTATTCTGTTCTGGTAAATGAACGGAGAACAAATCTTCCCTTGAACAATATTTATATTAGAAAACTATCGGTTATGACTGCACGTCGAGTTTATGCATTCTACAAAGAAACACCGAAACGGCTAAATCAGTTGCCTTACACAAGCAGGGCTGCTGTTGCTGTAATGTATAATGGAATAAATTCACCCCTCTATATAAGAAAATACAGCCTTTAACTCTGTGTGGGGAAAACTAGTTTGTACAATTCAAACCTCTACGTCACTTCCCCAGCGCGTCTGCCTCCGCCTCTCCTTCTCTCACCCTCTCTTTCTCTCTCCTCATGGTTGCAATGGCCACAGCCTCATCAAAGCACATGCTGAGGGGACTGTTTCTGACTTCGGCCCTGTCCCTCCTCCCCTCTCTCTCCCGGCTATCTCCCCTGAGCTTTGGACTCTCTTTCTTCTCAGAGCCCTCGTCGCTCTGGTCTCCGTCCTTGTCCTGCTCTCCTGGGACTCTCAGCGTGTTGTCTCTCCCTCTGTCGCCGTCTCTTCTCTCTCTTTGCTGCTGCTGCTGTCGGATGGTCAGGGCGGTGATTCTGCAGTGCTGCGGCTTCGGAGGCACCACCGGCACGGCTTTAACTTGGTAGATCTTCGGCTGTGAGGAGACCAGCGTGCTTCCGACACCCTCTAAGGGGCCGTCACTCTTCTCACTCTCTCTTCCCTCTTTCATATCAGAGCCCACCTCTTTAAATTGGTTATCTTCACTTGGCGCAGTTTCAAGTTGTTCATCGGCTGTCTGTTTACCATCGCTCTCATTCTCTGGCTGATCTGAAAACGCTTCTGCTGTGACATGTTCCTGAGAGTCTTCCTTGCTGGCCATCTTCTCATGAGTTTCTCTCTGGGTCTCATCTTCGTTAAACTCTTGTTGCATTTCTAAACTTGTTAGCGCTCCTTCAGCAGTCTCCACTGGTTCACCGTCTACTTCTATCATACCTTCCGTCTTCTTCGCCTCCTCTTTGTCGTCTTCCACCATTTCCTTTGATCCGTGCTCTTCGTCCTGTTCATCTTTTACCAAATGTTCTTGCCCAACATCACCCTCCCTCTCAGACTGCGCCTTTTCCTCATCTTCTATCACTTCAGATACAATGTCCTCAAGTTCTTCCCAAATGTCATTGTGTGTCCCACAGATTTGGGTATCCTGCTCATTGCTACTGTCGTGTTCTCTGTCAGCTTTTCCCTCTGAGGTTTCTTCCCTCATTCTCTCATCACTTTCCTCTATTTTCAGTACAAACTGTTCACACATGTCCTCCATTTCATTGCATATCACACCATTCTCACCCTCCTTATTGTCTCTCTCTGTTGTACCCCCTCCATTACAGCTTCTGGTATGATTTGTTGATTCAGTTTCTTTCTGGTTCATCATTTCCTGAGATGGACAATCGCTGTGAGCAATTTCAACTACTTCCTCCACCTCCTCAACGCTCGTGCCAGCCACAGTGCTGGATTCGTCAGCGTCCTCGGTGACTGGCAGTGGAAACTCTGTACAGCAGGTTGTTGAGGATATTTCACTTTCAGTATCTTTCATAATATCCAGATGTTCCTCTGTTTCTCTGCTGCAGATAGTTAAGAGACAAAAACAGTTTAGACGCGTACAATATAAGTGAGACTTTAAGACATATTAACGTTTGTTTATAGAATTTTTTGAGCTCTAATTTTGAGCTTCTTATTTAATATTTCTTCCTGATTTAATTAAACTTGTAGCAGTTTATTCTTGTAGCATTTCTCAAGCTGATGACACAAAGTTTAATGTATCAAAAGAGAATTCTCCTCAGTTTGTTATGATTTTCTAATGGAGGGACGGGAAGGACATGTGGTGCTATCTGCCACACTGTACTTTTAATCTTTTTCCACCAGGGGGTGCACACAGGTTTCAGGCATTAGCCTTCAAATCATCCAAGTAGTGGCCACTGTGACCACACAACTTAACTACAGGATACTGGAAAACAAAACACCACAGCAAAACAAGAGTGAAGTGATTATAGTGTCTTTTGAAAAGCGTGCAGTTCGGTTTCTTCTCCAAAATCAGCCACAAAAACATAACTGACATGTAAACCTTTTCAAGTTTATATGTTAAGCATGCTAGCACTATTTACATCTTTCTCATTCATGTGGAATAACATTTCTCATAAGTAAGGTCAAATAGCCTGTTCACTCTCCATTCTATTTCTGTTTGGCCTTCTCAAACTCCTGAGGGAAATATCTGGGTCATTACAGTCTAAAGGTTTCACCGGCTGACTGTTGTCTGGGTATATTCAGATTATTAGGTTGCTGGACCCAGTTGCAGAGAAAGATGAAAACAATAAGGCGAGTTTAAAATCAAAATAACGAACTGAAAGATGCTCAAACATCATATGTCAGACAGGAAGTGCAGAACCTGGTCACATTCTAATTAAACATCAAACATTTAAGCTACAATCACACACACTGTTGTGGTTTTCTGACTCACTGTTAGTGTAAAATAACAGATAAAATAGTTGTTGTTGTGCTTTTTCTGTCTGCCAGTCAGGAAAGATTAAGACAAAAATGCACATGCATGGTAACTATAATGATAAATACTAAAATCTGAGATTGTAATCAATTGTCACCTTTGCACGTCGTTTTCCAGCTGGTCTCCTTCCTGATGAACTTTAGTTTCCTCTTGTTTTTCTATCATCTCCTTTTCATCCAGTCCATTTTTATCTTCCCTGTCGTTCACTTCTACCTGCTCCCGCTCTCCCGTAGTTGTTTCTGTACATGCCGAATGTTCAGTTTTCAGTGACTGGCAGTCTCTTTCTTCAGAGCTCTCTATGTAATGCACAGAAACGCTATCATGAGGGGAACTTTCCTCTCCATCAGCTTCTGGTTCCAACCCAGAGATTGTGTTCAAAAAGAAATCCGGTGGAAGGCTTTTAACGAACATGCTCTCGTCTTCCTCGCTACTGTACTCGTTATCACCAATGTCGTTCCCCATAGCCTCGTCTTCAGATGAAGACTCATCCGGTCCGTGGACAGGCGATGTCATGTAAGGCAGGCTGAGGGATTTTGTGTGTCGACTGTGCAAGTCGAGACTGAGCGGTCTGTGTGGGTTTGACTCGCTGGGACTTTGAGGGCCTGGACGCAGGCGTGACTGTGGCTCTGGAGGACAAGGAGAAGTCTGAACTTGAGCCATTGATTCATACTCATCGTCTGAGTGACAAGGAGGTTCAACAGAGAACTCCTGCACCTATTGGGAAAAAAGAGGAACCACATTACAAAGCTTTCACAAATACAGCGTAATACTGCTCCTGTGCAAATAACCATTTTCTTCTGCAAACCTCCAACTTCTTATGTGCTAAGAAAGATTTGCAACCATAAAAAACACACCTGATAAGAGACACTGCAGTCCA